ACGGCGTGGGTTGCAGCCCCTGTGGCAGTGGGTTGCCGTGGGCTACCTTGTGTAGCCAGCAGCCAGCGTGAGTGGCCAGCAGCCGCAGTGAGCGGCCATCCAGAAGCTGGAGAACAAAAATGACAGCAACTTGTCTGTTCCCCTTCCCCCAATTCCCCAGCACTGTTCCCATCCCCCCAATTCCCCAATAAAAATCTTTATAAAACAAAACAAAACACCAGTGTGTTTTTCCATGATCCATCAGCTCCCAGTCAAGTAGTTGTCTTCAGTCTAGTTGTGGAGGGCGCAGCTCCTTAGCCCATGTGGGAATCGAACTGGCAACCTTGGTATTATGAGCCTGCTAACTGGCCGCCCCTCCATTCCATTCTTTTATGAATTAAGTCACTGGCTGCATAGTGCCTGGTTACTGTAATCTTCTGAAGTACAACATACCTTTTCTCAAGAGAAGCAAATATTTTCTTGAGCCTTAAATCTAACACAAATTTTTATGTGGCCTTTCTGTTAAGTATGATATCCTCAGTGATATCCCTAGGATCAAGGTGCTATTGGAGTTTGTAGCGTTGACCTCTCAATGAAAGCTTGAGGCAGTTGTACCAAAATGGATCACAGCATATACAGTTCTTTAGGAGTAAGGAGACTCCATAACTGTTTAGAACTGTTGTCCTGTGAAATTAGTTATATCACCTCTTGTCACTCTTAAAATTGCCCCACTTTGGAGGGTAAATTATGTAGTCAAATAATTTAGGAGGACAAGACAGTGAAGTTTCCGACATGCAGCTTTGTGATAGTCTCACTCAATCTAGAAAAATTCATTGACAACATGGTCTTCAAATCTTCTTCCATTTACAGAATTTGTCCTAACAGATTTTGCTAAAAACTGGGAAGGAAACGGTTTGAAACAAAATCCAGAAATCTAGATATTCTGTTTGGCTGGTTAAGAAAAGAGCTGCTTGCTTTAAACGTCAGCTTAGGCCAAAAGGTTTTAAATTCACTGACTTAAGTTTGGATAAGAAGATGATTTTACACTTTACTGATAATTTTCTCCTTTCCATTATATTGACCGAGCCATATGTTATTTGTCACATGTTTTAGATATAAAACTAAACACAGTAATTTCTCACTTCTCAAAGGCATTGCTCAAAATAGAACCCAAGGCCGTTTAAATTCAATGTGTACCTTTTAAAAAATCTTTCTTGGAGAAGAAGAACAATGAAAATAGCTAGTATTTTTAAATGTTTACTCTGTGCTTTACTTACCCATTTTTTTTGAGTATTTACCCCATTCCAAGTCCTATACTTGAATTATCTCGCTATATCTTATAATACCATTGTGAGGTAAGTACTGTTAGAGTCCACAGTACATGGATGAGGAAGCAGAGAGAGGTTAAGTAACTTACCCAAGGTGACGTAGGTCTTTAAATCTAGGCAGTGCAACCCAGGGCCCACTCTCTGATCTCCTAGGCTGTGCTATGTCTGTAGAGAACGTAGTATAATTCACAAACTACTTTTTAAAGATTTGTTTTAAAAAAGATTAACAAAATAATTCATTATATTTTTAAGAATATCATTATATTTTTAGGAATCTGGGGTGTTGGCGTTGCAACTCAGAAAGTTAACTTGAACCAGATTCCCCTTGGCCGAGATGTGCACAGTATGGTGATGAGGAACGATGGAGCTCTGTACCACAACAACGAGGAGAAAAATAGGCTGCCAGCAAACAGCCTTCCACAGGAGGGAGACGTGGTGGTAAGCTTTCTCATGGAGTTGTCTTCCACTGTAAATTATTAAACTTGAACTGCTTTTAGTATATGTAGTTTTGCCAGGGCGTCTGTGGTTTGAATTCCAAAGCACTGGGATTAGATCTAATAAGGTGGTACATTTTCTTTTAAATACTTTCAGGTGTACAAAACAAAATAATAGACATTTACACCCCTCACAAAGTGATAACCCCCTGTCCCCAATCTACTACCCCTCTGACATCATATATAGCTGTTACAATTCCATTGACTCTATTCCCTGTGCTGTACTCCACATCCGGTGACTATATATACATGTATATAATTATAGTTGACATTCATTATTATTCTACTTCAACTTCAGGTGTATGGTACAGTGGTCAGGCATCCACAGTCTATGAAGTGATCCCCCTAATAAGTCCAGTGCCCATCTGGCACCCTGCATAATCTTTATAACATTACTGATTATATCATCCATACTGTATTTCATATTCCCGGGACTATATTGTAACTAAGGTGTTACATTTTCCAAAGAGAGCACTTGGTGTAGACACTGCCACTTTACCTAACTGCCTTCTCCTTTCTAGAGCTGCCACTGGCCAGGGATGTCAGTATGAGCCCTTATTTCCGTTTAGGAAAATTAAGGACAGGTTGGCTGCTGATCAATATTTCCTGCTTCTCTCACGTCAGAGAAATCTTGGCCCACAATTTTTAAAGTGTGCTGACCCTTATATTAGGAAATAGTAGGTATTTTTCCAGCTGGAGATCTCTTAGAGAAAAATTTTGGCATTTACTAATTTATTATGAACTTCTGTTAAGGAATTTTAATAGCACTTTATCAGGAGTGTTAGTCTTCATTAATCTTATTAAACTGAAAGAAATGGACTCGAAATCCTAGGGCTTTATTTATCAAAGCCACCCTATTGAAAATGTAATCCAAAGATCCCTTTCTGTCTTTTCCAGACACTTCCCCTGATACATCTCATATGGTGTTATCCAAGAACCTTATACACTGAGTTCAGGCTATTAGCTATTGACTGAGAAAAGAGTTCTTGGGCCTTCCTTAGCAAAGGTACCCTTATACACAGAACCATAGGTTCCTGGCTCTGGTACCAAGTGAAAGGAATCTGTAAATAATGAGGGAAAGTTCCTGATAATAAGATGACACAAGGTAAATTCAGATTATTGAATTAAAGAAATACACAGTATTTTGGAGAGAATGAAGAAAGATGTAGGAATTAAGTTTTAATTATGGTCTGATCTCTTTTCTGCAATTTAAAAAATATGAAGAGGGCCGGCCGAATGGCGCGCTGGTTAAGAGCTGGCTTGGGACGCCAGAGGGCCCCGGTTCGGATCCCACATATGAGGGCCAGTGACACTGCCCTCTACAAAAACAAACAAACAAACAAAAAAATACGAAGAACATTTAGTTTTTAAGTAGGTAAACTGTTGAAAGTTTTTTTTCCCCTAAATTGACTTAAGAAAAAAAGAGACGAAGGGCATAAACTATTTTTAAAATCTGCTTTTCCCTGTTCTTCTTTTTGAATAGTTGGTTCTGTGTTTGTAGATCATTGCCAGATGTCTGTAATACAGAACACCGTTATTCAAATGGTTATTTCTTGAAAGAGAATCTTGAAGTCAAGTTGATGCTGTCAACCTGTTTATACTAAAAGATGAAATTCAAACATAAGAAAGGATAATCAGTAACAAATGTTTTCCTTTGTTTATGTACCGAACTTCTACCGTGCATTATTCTTGCCTTCCTCCTTCATTCATTGAGATGACTGATACCACAAATTGACAGATTTAAGAATGTCATTTTTAGTCTGTCAGCATTATTAAATTAGACTTTGAGTTTTCATGCCCATTTGATAAAAGGAGAACTAGAAAAGATGACATATATGCATAATCAAAAAAAGTAAAACATTACCATATTAACTTTAACTAGTTCAAACACTTGAGAACAAATTTCCCCAAATTGCTGACGGTGGCCTAGGAAAAGTAGAATGGATTATAAGACAGGAAAAACATTCTCATATGTGTAGAATTTCAGTCATATGCCATTCTCTGAGGATAAATAAAAAAAATAAGCTTTCAGCATCCAACCAAATGATTGTATTCATATAGTAATCATACAGCACCAACAGGGCCCATGGCAGCACTAGGAAGGCATACCTGAAGCAGCTTATGCGTATTTTTTCCTTTTGTAAACAGTTTTGAAAAGTGCAAGTTACATTCTAAAATTGCACTTTTCAGTTTAATTTCAGAGAGGTTTGATAAATATTCTATGCAATAATAATAGCATACATTTGAAGTGCCTGTCAAAGGTTAAACTGTTTCATCCTCATAATGACCCTATGAAATAGCAGCTAGTATTATTATCACCATTTTACAGATTAGGAAAAGTGAAGTAACTTCTTGTATGGGGTGATCCCAGGGTTATAACACAGGCAGTCTCATTTCAGTCTGTTCTCTAAACCTGCAAACAATTATTGATAAATGCGTGATTATATCAGAATCAAACCTAATTTCTAGACCATGTAAAAGGACAGATTAAATTAGAATATACTTGAACTAAATGCTGCTGATGGGGACGGGGGTGGGGAGGGTGAGGGGGGTGGGGTTGTTCTCATCCTTCCTCACTTCTTTCTCTGGCATTGGGGTTTTGCTGCAAAACTGGAGGCTTGGGTTTAGAACTTGCTTGTAGGTTATGCTGCCACCAGGTGGTGGAGGCTGCCTGGATTACAACCCACTGCTCTGAACGGCTAGATTTCCTGTAGTCTTAGAAAGAGAGTAGCACACTTGGTTTTTTATGGAAGTATGTTTTTGTTTTTTTTAAATGAGAACATACCTCTTCATTAAAGAAGCTAATCCTAGCCATCAGTTAGCTTTGTTATTATATTTAAATACCTAAACTGAAATGAAACAAAGGCAATCTGTTTACCTTTCTCAATATTCCTTAACTTTTAATAAATCATTGTTTAACCCTGACTTTGCTAAGATTTGAAGAGAATATTTAATAGCACTTAACATATTGACTTATGTGAGCCTTTGATGTCTTAACTGGAAAGTGAGGGAGTTAAGATTAGATCATCTGTGAGATCTTTTTCTGCCTTGTGAAAGCTTTTAACTTGATCCAGTTCGAAATCCTTGAAGTGGTTGCTTCTTGGTCAGTGAGGATTTCTCTATTGAAAAATCTCTGCTGTTTATTTTTAATTCTTCCAAGGAAAGCTGTCTTTTTTGTCATCAGTTGGCAGCTATTATTTAAAGTTTTAAAGAGACTTTTAAAAGTTTAACTTTAAAATTACATGCCAATTAAGAGTAAGTATTCCAAAACCATACTGCGTAGGTTTAAATCTGAGCTCTGCCACTTCCTAGCTGCGCAGCCTTAGGCAAATTATTTAACCTCTTGTGCTTTAGCTACCTCATCTGTAAAATGGAGACAATAATAATACCTATCTTGCTATGAGGAATAAATGAGTAAATATGAAGTGCCTAGAATAGTGCTTGATATGTAATACAGGCTAAGTGTTTTCCAGCATCTTAATAATAATTGTTATTTATTGTGATTTTCCTACCATTAATAATGTACAAAGTAATATTTTTCATTCTAAATTGCTTTTAAAAACCTTTTGAGCTTTTTTTTTCAATTTGATACTAATTATAAATTATAGTTGATCCTTGAATATCACAGGGGTTAGGGACACTGACCCTTGCAGTAAAAAATTCGCATATAATTTGTGACTCCCCCAAAACGTAGTTGTCCCTCGGTATCTGCAGGGGATTGGTTCCAGGACTGCCCATGGATACCAAAATCCATGGGAACTCAAGTACCCTGTATAAAATGACATAAATCAATGCATACAGTTGAACCTCTGCATCGAAAGTTGAACCATGGATCGAAAGCAGTGCAGGCATTTATTGGAAAAAAAAAAAATCTGCATATAAGTGACCTGTGCAGTTCAATCCCTGTTGTCCTAGGATCACCTGTATATTTGGTTGTAAACACCACCTTTGCCTTAGTAATACACTTGTCATATTTGAAACCAAGGTAAAGAAATACAGAAATGTATGATTTCTTTTTGGAAATAAGTCGTATAAAGATACTTCTTCATAACTTGGAAACAGTGACAGGTAGTAAGGCCTAATGGTGAAAACTTCACTGTTTGCCTCCCTTGAGATAAAATTCTACATATAGGAGTAGTGTTTCTGTATGAGTTTAAAAGATCTCTGTGTTCTCAGTATGCAGTGGTTATATCATCTATTAAATATTCAAAATATAAACTCCAGATTCTCTAGATATAATACTAGAATTTAAACTGATGGCATTTGTTTTACCTCTAATGTGGACTCTTGGGATTTTACCTCCCCCCAACACACATAATCACCAATTTTTTTAGCTCAGTTCAAACAGAATTGTACCAAATTGTAAACCCATAATGAAAGCTATTGTGACCCTTTGTTTAGTTTTTTGTGTTTCTGTGCTCCACAATCAGTGCTTTCTGACTGACTGTTCAGGTGTTTATTAGACATTTATATTTTTACCATTTTCAATATTTTCTTTTGTTCCTAGGGCATTACATACGACCATGTAGAATTAAACGTATATTTGAATGGAAAAAATATGCATTGTCCAGCGTCAGGTATACGAGGGACAGTGTATCCAGTTGTTTATGGTAAGCTAAAGTATTTCTAAGTATGATTAGATATATGTTAACTTTTGCTTGGCATTTCTCTTAAGTTTATAACTATCATTCAGAAGTCTGGACACGTTGTTAATAAGGACCTTTTTATAGGAAATATACTCAGTAGGATATCATAGTCCTAATTTGCAGGACGAAGGAAGGTTTCTATTCCCAACAGAAGGTGTATAAGTACTATATAGTTTCTGTACAAGTGTGTCCTCCAAGAATTGGGGTAAATAAGATAACCCTAAACTTAATTAATTTTTATTATAGAAAATTTCAAACATATTTAGAAGTAAAGAGAATAATATAATGAACCCTAATATACCCATCACCTGTCTTCCAACACTTACCAACTTGTAGTCAATCAGGTTTCATCTACCCCCAACACTCCTGTTCTTCTCCTCCCCTCCTTGAATTATTTTGAGGCAAATGTCAAATATTATATCATGTATTCATAAATATTTTAAGTGTATCCCTAAAAAATAAGGTATCTTTCTTTTAAAAAAACCCCAAAAACTTAGCCAGAGTGCCTTTATTACTCTATTCTGCTTTGTTTTTTGTTATCAACTTTAAATTAATGGGTATATGATTTTTTTGCCTATGACGTTAGTAGATATTTTTGCATTAAACTACTTTATTTAAGTTCTTAGATTTAAGCCATAATAAAAATGAATTATTAACTTTTTGTAGTAGTTCGCTAGAAAATTAGCAATGTTAGTGAGGACAGACTGGGATGTCAGAAAAGTAAACAATAACAAATAGAAATATTTATTAATGTGGTACTAGCGAAAACCTGTGCTTTTTAATTAAGGTTTTTATTAGTTTTCTTTCTCCTAAATATCACTTTTCAATGATTTTACCTTCTGTGTCTTTGCAAGTAAAAGTGTATTTTTTAACCTGATTTAGGTTAGTTTTCTTTCCATATTGGACAAGCCTAAAAGAAATTCTTTTATTTACTTAAATTAGGAAATGTAGCTTAATATTCAAAATGCTTTAGCCTGAGAAATGAAATAAATATAGGTAGAATGACTGAGTTATACAAATGAGTAGCAAATAAAATTGTTACTTTAAATTGTTTATTTGATTCAACATTATTTTTAACATAATGAAGTTATAGATAGTAAATTATATATAAGTAAAGTGTATTTTATATATTGAAGTTGATAAATCAATCCAGTTAAACCAAATGTTTTAATAGTCCAACACTATTATAGATAAAAATAAAATTTAAGTTCCTTACCTTTTGTCCTCCATCCCATCCCTAATCCTAGATCAATCCAGCCATTCGTTGCCTGTTCTTACAGTCAATCTATGGAGAGAAAAAACTGTGTAACACTGAAGAAAATTGTCGTTGCAAAGTTACGACTTCCAGTGTAATCTAAGCTCAATATTTTTTGGCAAATTCCTTTACATCTCTAAACATTCCAGACCTTCAGCTTGCTTCTTAAACTCACTGTTCATTCTCTGCAGATGACCTTGCCCTCTACTTTATAAAGAAACAGGCTCTCAGGAGTGAATTCAACCTTCCCTCCCTTGCCCAGGAGTGAATTCTACCTTCCCTCCCTTGCCCAGGAGTGAATTCTACCTTCCCTCCCTTGCCCTCCTGAAGCTTTTCTGGATCAGCTCCAATCTTGCCTTTTTTCCATCCCGCCTCAGAGGAAGTGGTACCCTTCATGTTAAAAAGCTCAGTCTGTAGTCTAGATTTCAAACTCCCCAAATCTGGGACTTCTCTTTGTTGGTTATGTCATCTTTATCTCATGTCATCAGCCTCTCTCTTCAATGCCTATAAACATTCCGAGTCATTCATCTGAAAAAACCCTCCCTTAAACTTGCGCCCTTCATTAGCCCTCGGTTTACTCCTCTCTATATGGCTGCATTGCTTATAGAATAGCCTACACCACTGTCTTTACAGTCTTTCATTTGCTCTGCAACCCGATTTGGTTGCCTTTACCAACACTTCACTGAAACCACCCGTTAAAATCACTAGTGACTTCAAAGAATATAAAATCCAGTACTTAACTTTTTTTATGCGCTTATGAATTATAAAATATTTAGTAATGTTCATTAAATATATATGTGCAGTTTAACAAATGGCTAAAAGTGAACACCCATGTCATTACCACAGTCAAGATCACAAACATATTTATCACCCCTAAAAGTTTCCTCCTGCTCCCGTATAGTCCTTACTGCTCACCTCTCCTACCATAGCCCCAACCAGGCAACCACTGATTTGCCTTCTGTCACTACAGATTATCTTATATTTTTAGAGTACTCTGTAGACAGAATCATACAGTTTGTATGTATATGTGGTGTGTGTGTGTGTGTGTGTGTGTGTGTGTATAATATAATATTCTTTCACTCAGCATAATTATTTTAAGAGGCATCCATGTTGTAATTCAGTCATTTTTATTGCCACGGAGCATAGTTCATTGTGTGGATATATCACAATTTGTGTTTCCCTTAATCTGATAATAGATTTGTAGGTTATTTCTAGTTTGGGGCCATTAAAAATAAAGCTGTTACAAACATTCATTTACAAGTCCTTGTATGGATATGTGCATTCATTTCTCCTGGATGAATGCTGTTAAAAACATGGAGATGCTAAGGGAGAGCTGGAGTCCAGTTAACAGTATTGCATCACTGTCGCTTTTCTGGATCTGACACTGTATTGTAGTTATGTAAAGTGTTACCACTGGGGACTCAGTATTATTTTTGCCACTTCCTGTGAATCTATAATTTATTTCAAAGTGAAACTTTTAAAAAAGTTAATACATCTTAATTGCATAAAATTTAGAAAATACAGGTTGGCAAATAAAGAAAAAATTAAAACTATCCAGTCATACCACTTAGAGATAATTATTAGTAATATTTTGATGTATATCCTTTCAGTGTTTTTGATAGATTTTGGTTTTCGTGTGGCTGTTTTTACCCCACAGGATCATATTTTGTAACCTGGACAGTGGATGTGTTTATTCTTCTTGCCTATTGATATTATGGTATTATGGAAAATTTATTTTATAATTATGTATTCATACAAATTAAGGTGTTTGCTTTTAATTTAGTTTCTTTATTTTTCTATCTCTAGTTGATGACAGCGCAATTTTGGATTGCCAGTTCAGTGAATTTTATCATACTCCTCCACCTGGTTTTGAAAAAATATTATTTGAACAGCAGATCTTCTGAATGCATTTGTTTTTGAAACTTGTATCTCTGCACTGTTAAAAGTGTTTACCATTTAATAAAGCTTTAACTGACCTATAGATGAAAATATATTCTTAAAAATATGCTTGTTATTGTTGTTTAAGCAATGTATTCGATATACTACCTGGAAATTGTGTTTTAAAATACTCAATGTTTTGTGATACAAAATCAGCATTTTGGGGAGTTGGTTTATTTAATTCTTATTTAAATAAATATAACTATGGGTTTGATTATCAGTATTAAGTGGATATATGTATATAGATATTTAAAAGGGAATCTTTCTTACATAAAATATTTGTTTTGGTAGAGATATGGAGTTGGGTGGGGTTTTGTCATTCTGAAGTTTAAATCGCATTAACTATTTTAAGTCTGCAGTCCAATAATTTTGTGTCTCAGTGTCCTTTTTTATATAGAATATAACAAAGTGACAGAAATTTATATTATTAGCAACTTCATTTTTAGCAATTTACTGTAAAATGTACACTTTTCTTAAAATTTAAATTGCTGATTTTGTTTGTATATCATTGCTTTTGATTTACTTTCTGAAAGGAGATAAATGTTTTAGTAATTGTTAGAGTATTTTGTTGAAGACCATTAACCTGTATAACTTCAGTACCAGAGTAAGTAGTGGTTGATTGGTGATGTAGTGTACACTGGCAGACATTTAGAATAGTATGATGCTTTAAACTTAAATGTAAATGAGATTATTCTTTTAAGCACTTTTATTTGTCTGTGTTTTCCTGTAAGGAATAATAAAGTAATGGTAATTAAGGAAGATTCACTACTGTATTAAGTACATGTTCTTCCTGTTCTGTTTATTATGCAGTAAATTTATGTCACCCTGGATTATTTCATGAGTTCAGAGATAAGTGAATTCTCTCCATGACCCTGAGCCTTTGTCTAGTTTTCAGTAAGAATCCCCGTCCTTTAGTTTACACCCTACTAACCTGAACTAATCACTGCACACATCTTTGGTACAGTCTCCTTTCTGAATGAGTATGCCAAGGGGACATACATTTCACTGTGTTATCATCAATGATGGCGCAGTATGTTGTACTAGGAAAAGATGGGCATTAGAATCAGATCTGAATTCTAATCTAATTATCCCCTCCTAATCCCATTATCCCCTCAGGCGAGTTCTTCCGGTCTCTCTGAGCCCAGGTTCCCCATTTATAAAAGGGACAATCACACTTGTTTGATAAGATTCTATAACTAGTTACATGAGGTAATATATATAAAACACCTTAACCATCATAGGCACTTAATAAATATAGCTTCCTTGTTGACTCTAAAGCAGTAATTTTCATATTGTGGTCCTCAGACCAGCAGTGTCAGCATCACCTGGGAACTTGTTAGAAATGCACATTCTCAGGTCCCCCCTCCCCACCTACTGAATCAGAAACTGCTGGGGATAGCGCCCAGGAATCTGCATTTGAACAAGCCCTTCAGAGGGTTCTAATACCTGCTAAAGTCTGAGAACCACTGCTCATAAGAGAATTCTTGAGAATGATTGTCTATAAATTTTCTAAGAATTTAAGATAGACTACTTTTGATTTACAGGCAAAATAATCCTGCACAATATTTATTTATTGCTTATTTGGTAGACAAAAACATGACAGTGTATTTTGAAAACAGACATACTTGAGTTACATTTATTTACATAAATCCCAAATTTTACCTCTGAAGATACATAGAATTAAATTAACTGTATGTTATTTATGCTTTTTTGTCTGACTTTCTGTCTTAGTAGTTTTATTTATTTATGTGTTTATTTATTTATTTTAAAGATTTTATTGGGGAATTGGGGGAGGGGAACAGCGTTGGGGAATGGAGGATGGGGAACAAACAGACAGGTAGACAAATTGCTGTTTTGTTTTTCAGTCTAGTTGTGGAGGACGTCACTTCACTGGCCCATGTTGGTGTGATCATTGTGCTCTTCCCGGGTGAGGCAATCGGTCGCTGGTCAGCCGCTCACTGTGACTCACAGCAGCTCTCCTCGGCTGCCAGCCACTGCTGGCTGCCAGCCACTTATGTAGCCCATGGCAACCCACTGCAGCAGGGGCTGCAGCTTAGCTGTGGCTGGCAACTCCCAGCCGCCTAGCTCCAGGTCCAGCTGTTGTTCATCATCTTAGCTGTAGAGGGCTCAGCGTCACTGGCCCTTAATGTGGGATCCAAACTGCGGCCCTGCTGCTCAGAGCTGGTGCTCCCAAGCGAGCTCTTAACAAACTGAGCCACTCAGCCGGCCCCCTAGTAATTTTAATTCATAGAAAACATACTTGGGAAAGTAAATTAAAATGACTACTATTTGCTGTCTTTATGTTATCTACCTCTTCTTAGTTATTTTTTTAAAAGCCAACCTTTTTAAAAAAAATTTTTTATCATAGTCTTTAATCTTACAGGATAGGCACAGTATTAAAAATGATGTATGAGTTACATCCATTGCAACAGTTTGATGAAGTCTAAATGTGTTTGTAATCCGCAGGTATCTAATTCTTCTTAGGGAAATCACCTCCCCAAAACCTATAAACCTCAGTCTAAACTTGAGAAAAACATCAGACAAATTCCAGGGCATCCTACAAAATACTTGAGCAGTATTCCTCCAAATTATCAAGGTCATCAAAAACAAGGAAAGTCAGAGAAACTGTCTGTCACACCCAAGAGAAGCCTAAGGGGACAAGACAAGTAAATGTAATGTGGGGTCCAGGAACAGAAAAAGGACAGTAAGTAAAAACAGGAAATCTGGGGCTGGCCGAGTGCCGCGTTGGTTAAGAGCTGGCTTGGGGCGCCAGAGGGCCCTAGTTTGGATCCCACATATGAGGGCCAGTGACACTGCCCTCTACAGCTAAGATGCTGAACAACAGCTCAACCTGGAGCCAACAGCTCAACCTGGAGCTGGGCTGCCGGTGAGTCACTGGCATTGGCGTCGGCATAGGCTGCAGCCCTACTGCAGTGGGTTGCCATGGGTTACCTACCGTGTGTAGCCAGCAGCCCCCGTGAGCGGCCGTCCAGAAGCTGGCGACTGATCTGCCT